GTGTGTGTGTGTGTGTGTGTGTGTGTGTGTGTGTGTGTGTGTGTTCTTTGTCCCTCCTCCAGCCGTCGGAGGAGCTCTCTCTCCATCTAGCCGTGCATCCTGCTCCGGAGCACCGCCTGGATGATCCGCCGCCGCACCGACAACAACCTTCACTTCTCTTTCATTCTGATTTAACCCTTCCTTCCGCCCCGAGACACCCATGCTTTGCCCTCCCTCTGAGATGCGACACCTCTGCACAGTTTCCCGGAGAATACGTTCATCTTGTGTCGCTCCTCCTCGCTGATACAGAGCAGCATGCCCGACTCGGGGACGGCAGCAGCGGCGGGCGCTGCAGCCGCGGCGGCGGCCGCCTCCTCCTCCGGCGACGGCTCAGACAGCGCCCGGCACCGACACCGACCGCAGCAGGGAGAGGCGGAGAGGCCGGAGCCGGGCGCTGGCCCGCAGCAGAGCTCCTCTGGAGTCCTGGGTGAGTCTCGCTTTGGGTTTTTGTGTCGGAGGAGGAGGTGGAGGACAGGTGATGTTCGAGACGAGCAGCATCACTCCCTTTGTCTCCACCAGGCAGGGCGTCCCAAACACGTAACATTATACCAGCATAGGCCTGTAAATATGGGCTTTACTTATCATTTCACAGCTGCTTTTCAAAAAATATCTCCCTTTTGTGTTCTGCTGGAGGAAATGGCTTCATTATGCATCCCAGTAGCTTGTTTTGACCTTATTGTTGGGTAATAAGGAGCCTGTAGCCCTTATCTCCAGACTGTCCCAATAAGTGTTCCTGTGTTTTTTGCACCATTGTTTCCCTAGCTGCTATTTTCCTTAAGAGTTGATTGTTCTTTTTATTCTTTGAATATGTTGTCAGTCAGGCTTTATGGTAAACAAAATGTTTGAGTCGCAGGAATTTCTTAACTATCTTCCTAGAGATCAGTTTTCAGGCCATTTGATAGTTTACAGAGCACCAAGTGCAGATTTAGTCACTTTAGTAAACCCTAGTTGCCTTTAATTTGTTTGTGTTTGCATGTGAAGGGTAAAATACCTCCTTGGTTTATTTTTGCTCTAAGAGCCACCCCTTCTGTTCATGGCAAGTGTTTTTGATTTTACAGCCACGGTATGACCTTATGATCTTAATGTTAATGCTATTTTTGAGATCGGATCACATTATTAGCTCCAGCGGCTGGATTGTTTCCCTGCATGCAGGGTGCAGAGCAGCCTCTGTGCTCCCTGGGAGCTCTGCTGCAGAGTGATGCAGTGGATCAGGGGGGCTGTCAGGCACGGGAGCACTCCTTTCCACACTTTTAGTGGTGGTAACCTGAGCAGGAGGCGGCCGACTGGAAGAGCGCACTGATGTCATCCCCTGGGTGTTTGACCGGGTCACGGACACTCTCCGGGGTCAGTGCACTGAAGAGTAGTTCAATTATACGGCGGCTTGATTGGCTGGAGGCAGTAGAGTGAAGGGAAGGGCCGGGAGTTTGAACTTGGGAGGATTAAGACAAAATATAAATAATAAATTAAACATGAGATCACAAGTACAAAGTCTAACAAACAAGAGCTGGTGAGCTAAGGATGCTGTGAAGTCCTGAAAAGTGACGTTCAGTTATCTAATCTTGGCTCATTATTTGAACAAATGTTATGGATGTAAAGTCTGAATTCTGCCTGCAGTTTGAGGTCAGTAGAAAATGTAGTTCTTAAACATCATAAGTTATAAAGGAAAACAGCATATACATATTTTAATTAAAACTGTAAAACATCTCCATCTTCTGCTGCGTACCTATAGTCTGGTTGCAGAGGCAACAGGTATAGATGAGAAACCCAGACATCCCTCTCTCCACTGCAACTTTCCAGCTCGTCCCGGTGGACCCCGTGGTGTTCCCAGGCCAGAGAGGATCCATATTCCCTCCATCGAGTTGGTCTTCACCAGGGTCTTCTACCAGGATGTGCCCAGAACTAAGTGGAGGCGTCCATGACCAATCAGATCACAGAAACACCTCAACTGACTCCTTTCGGTGCAGCGGAGCAGTGGCTAAAAGCTGGTTTCTACTTCAAGTTACACGTCTTGCTGCTGGGTGACAAAACATTACTGAACGTCCAATGTGCTGTCTTCCGGTGACAGCCGTCTCGTGAGCACTGCCCCAGTCAGAACTCTGCGCAGCGGACCTTGCGGCTCCTGCTGTGTGATTGGTTTGAACGCCACRGGCGTGTTTGTTCGTGTGAAGCAGAGCATCTCTGTGGAGCAACGCTCCGAGCAGGGCGTCTTTCTGCACATTGTTTAGCTAAAAACGATCCATTCTCTGAAACCAGTTGTTAATCAGCCAGATGAAATGAGCAGATGTTCTGATCTTATGGACCACCTGAACGTGTCGCTGATGTTCAAGCCTTCTTTCCAGCTCCGCCGTTAACAAGGACTCCTCACCCAACACAACACTGATTCATCACTAAGTGGAAAAATACCCCAAAACAAACAAACAAACAAACAAACATATACTGCTATCACGGTTGTTTTTTATCCTTAGCAATGCTCTGTGCTGCATTGGGAGTTCTGTTAGTCCATTTATACTCAGTCAAAAAAAGACACATGAAATGATACAATTAATAGCTGCGTTTCCATTGCAAATGAGCGCAAAACTTTGTCGATATTCTGTTGATGTTGAAAAACAGTTTTGCAACTGCGGTGTTTCCATTAAGTAAAAAATGCTATTAAAGTCACGCGTGAATCCATTTGTTCTCGCGATAAATCACTACAAACATGGTGGCGATGGATGTAAAGACATAACATATTTCTACCGCGACGCTAGCGCTCATCATCAAAGGAGACGTCGTCGTCTTTTATTGAGGCTTTCCAGCGACAAGTCCCTACTTGGGAGCGGCTACGTATGCTTTGTTTTTGTGAAATTGTGGTCGGTGAGTTTACTATTTTATACTACTTCTGTGATATTACTACTATTTCTACTTCCTGTTATCTTCGTCATCGTCTTTTTCGCCAGTAGAAACAGCCGGTTGTTGATCACATGACTCCCGTGATGCGATAAAGGTGTTTCCATTGCAGTTTTGCAAAAAACACCAATTTCGATACGGCCGAAAWACCACCTCATCCTAGCGCAAAAACATTTAGTCAAAAAACGTAATTTCTTTCGAAATTAACGTGTTTCCATTGAGCAAATTTATTTTCGAAATTCTAATTTGCGCATTTTCATGGTCAGTGGAAACGCAGCTACTGATCTGCTGTCTCACGTACTGAAGTATAAACCAAGCTTAAAGCTGAGCCTGGCCACCCTGTAAAGGAAGCTCATTTTGGCCGCTTATATCAAGGATCTCATTTTCTGGTCATGATCAACACATGACCATAGGTGAGGGTTGGAACGTAGACAGATCAGTAAATCGAGAGCTTTGCCTTTCAACTCAGCTCTTTCTTCACCATGACTGACCGAAACAACACCCTCATTACTGAGGATGAAGATGAATCCGTCGAGCTATCTCCTGTTCCAGCCTACCATCACTTGTGAACAAGACTCCTGATACTTAAACTCCTCCACTTGAGGCAACATTACCTGCATGAACATAAAATAATTAAAAACATTCAAGGAAATAAAATAAATAGATTTGGTGAAGCCCAGTCTGCAGTTAGGGCATAAAAAAGACCGAAAATCTACAACAATTAAAAACTTTATTAGCATCTTTTCTAATTATTTCCTCTTACTTTGCAGCGATTGTGAACATTTTTTACTAAAAGAGTATCCTTTTCGTATAAGACCATAAAACCCTTTTTTCATGAAAGAAGTTTCCACGTTCTTGCTCAGCAGCACAACAGGCAGAGTGACTTCTTCATGCAGCTGAGACTTTGGTGGCCACCTGAGAGGATTTTCGTTGCTGGAACCTTGGAAGCTCAGTAGTCTCCATGCCTCCATAATCCTTCAGTAGACCACAGTGACTTTGATCCTTTGTTCCACCTTCCTCTGTAGCTCAAACACTCACATTCCTTCATTTCAAGGATTAATTAAGTGCTCGTCATTAAAAAAATGTAACTTAAAAGTCATACCAATTAGTAGACTGTGTTCCCTCTGAGACCAGTGTTGAGAAGGTTGTGTTTTATAGAAATGAGGTCATGTATTTTCTGGTCGCTCAGTCAGTCACTACAGATGTTTGAAACGCAAAAAGAGGAAAAGAGACAGCTTTGATAGATTTCTGTTAGAAAAGTCTCTGGATAGATTCTTCTAAATAAGAAGAGGTTTTTTTTTGTTTTATGTATAAATGTTGAATCAGCATTCACACTTGTGTTTTCCTGTTTATGGTTCTGTAGTGTTGTTTTTTTTGCAGTCAAACTACTTCATTTTTTGTTGTATTTTAACTATTCTCACATCAGAACATTCATCTGTCTGGAAAAGATGCTCCGACTTTTGACTTTTATAACTTACTTTTGTAAGTTGAAATGAAAAACTCTGTTTTTGTCGTAGCATCATTTTAGCTACAACTTCCCATTTTGATACTTTAAGTATTTAGCTACTTTTTTTCCTGGTTTTAGCTATTAAATACTTATTTCTAATTTTGCAACTGTTTTGCTAAGTGTTGCTAAATTTAGCTTTTAGCTACTGATTTGCTAATATGGCTTAGCTGCAACTTTTCTAATTTAACATTTTAACTATATCTTGCTAAATTAAAATTTAAGCAATTGTTTTTGTTTGTTTTAGCTACTGTTTTTCTCATTTTAGCTTTTAGCTACTACTGTGCTTGTTTTATCTTTTATTTACTCTACTCATTTTGCCCTCAGCTAATGATTTGTTTGTTTTAGCTTTTATTTAATTTTCTCTATTTTTTGCTTTTAGCTGTTTTGCTTGCTTGTTGTTTGTTTGCTGGTTTGCTAATTTGGCATTTAGCTACAACTTGACTAATTTAATCTTTAAGCTACATTTTGCTACATTTAAATGTTAGACATTGTTTTTGTTTGTTTTAGGTTTTAGCTACTGTTTTATCACATTTTAGCTTTTAGCTACTGTTTTGGTTTTAGCTTTTATTTACTGTTCTCATTCCAGCTTTTAGCTACCGTTTTGCTTGTTTTAACTTTATTTACTTTTCTCATTCTTGTATTTAGCCATTGTTTTGCTTGCTTGTTTGTCTGCTGATTTGTTAATTTGGCTTTTGGCTACAATTTAGCAAATTTAATATTTTAGCTGCATTTTGCTAAATGAAATTTATAGCTATTGTTTTTGTTTTTTAGGTTTTAGCTACTGTTTTTCTAATTTAAGCTTTTAGCTATGGTTTTCTTTGCTTTAGCTTCTAATTACATTTCTCATTTTACAAGTTTAGCTATTGTTTTGCTTGCTTGTTTGTCTGCTGATTTGTTAATTTGGCTTTTGGCTACAATTTAGCAAATTTAATATTTTAGCTGCATTTTGCTAAATGAAATTTATAGCTATTGTTTTTGTTTTTTAGGTTTTAGCTACTGTTTTTCTAATTTAAGCTTTTAGCTATGGTTTTCTT